CAGCCCTCGCCCACCTGCCAGCAGCGGCCGAGAAGCCAAAAACTTTGTTTTTTCAGATGCTGTGCTTGATGTTTGGAGAGGGGGAAGGCGGGCTTCTTAACTGGCTACCGCTCTGTTCCCTCCGGCCCGGATGCCTCCTCCTTGAACCCCTTCCTCTGTTCCCGTCCACACTCTGAGGTCCTGTGTCCTCCCCCCGGTCCTTAGCATCTTTCTGAGGACGAACGGGGGGCATCTTTTGGTTTCTCGGCTCTTGCTTTGGTGTCTGTAGCAGCGAGGAGAGCGGACGGCTTGTCCTGCCTGGGACCGGCGCCAGGCAGGGCGGCTACAGAGGGAAAGACTGAGGACTGGAGGGGCCTTGGCACGCAGGTGAGCAGAAGTGGGGGCTCGTCCTCCCTCCGCGTGGGCAGGCTCCCCTCTCTGCTCTCCTGCCTGCCTGGCGCCTGGCCGAAGCTGGACCGGAGGGAAGAGAAGGGTGCAGGTCACCCCGTACAGGTGGTGGCTGCTCTCGGGGCTGTGCCCACCTGCGCTCACAGGAAGAATTTTAGCTCCATCTGCCCCTAGAAAGGGCGGCCCCAGAACGGCCACCAGGAAAGCCAGACGACCTTGAACGGAGGCCAGGAGCCCGAGGCCGGCTCCAGCTCCGAGACTGTGGGCCACCCCGGCCCTGTCTTGCCCCAGCTGCCCCCAGCAGAGCCCCGAGGCCTGGCTGAGTGATGTGGAAGGTCCGTCCGTGCTGACACAGTGTGATTCCAAGTGGGAGTTTCCTGCACGTACCGATCCGCTGGCGTGTGGCTCAGTGCCAGCCCCAGCAGACACGGGGCGTCTGCGGCCAGATCTTCAGGGGCACGGTGATCCTGGTGTGGGGTGTGGGCTCAGGTGACTCCAGAACTGTTCCTCGCCCAGAGGAGGGTGTGGGGCGAGGAGCAGCTCCCGGACTGTTTAGGACCTGAGTCGAGTTCCCGCTGCTGATCGCCCGCTCAGCCCAGCCCTAGAGCCGGGCCCCTGTCCCCACTTTGAATTGTCCTCCGTCTCCACGTGGCACTTCCCAGGAGGCCGGGCTTCTCCTGCTAATGAGGCCTCAGACCCTCCCCAGAGGATGCCCTTTGAGAGGGGCTCTGCCGTGGGCTGCATGTCTGCCGACCCCAGAACCTGCCGTTCTCACACACACGGGCCCGTGGGCTGCACGCTGCCCCCACTGTCAGCCCCCAGGTCCTGCGGGGATGGGAGCAGCAGTTCCATTTTCACAGGTGACTTTGAAGGCCGGGCTCTTCGAGCCCCTGTGGTCACCTTTCTGCTCCGGACGCTGGCCCAGGAGGCCCAGGACCCACCTCCCAATCCCGCAGTCCCCTTGCCTGGCTCTGACCTGGGACCCCAGGGCGGGAGACGAACTTGGCCCCTTGGGGCTGGAGGGGAAGAGAGAGTGGGCCCCTCCCAGGTCAGATTGCTTTCTGGCCTCTGCCTGAGCCTCAGCCGCTTCTCCGGTCCAGCGGGAAGGATGCTGTTGCACAGCCTGCCCCGGAGGCATCGCGGGAAAGGGACTGTGGCTAAACGTTCTCTGGGATCAAGCACATGGCCCCCCCCGCACCCTCCCCTCGGGCTGAGGCCGATTCCCAGGCATCGGTAGAGCATCTGCATGCGGGACCTTCCTCCACTGTCCAGGGAGGTGGTTGGGCCTTTGGTTTGGAGCCACGGATATGCCTTTTGGCCGGAGCAAGTGGTACCATGGGCCCAGGCTTCAGGGCGCACCTTGGGGACGTGCCCCGAGACAGCTCCGACTGCCAGGGGCCCTCCTTCCTCCCGGGAGCGAGCTAGACACGGGCATTTGTGCCGAGGTTGCCAGGCAGGGACAGTCCTGTCCCCTTCTCTCACCAGGCCCCTGGCTGTGGCCCCTGGGAACCCAGAGCAGCCTGTGGGCCTCTCCCTTTTCCACCCGAGGCCCAGCCCTGTGACCCCGTGCGATGCTGCTCCCTGGGGACTCCAGACCAGCGGGGAGCCTGGCTCTTGGTCCCTCTGCCCAGCCTCACTCCCGGGCCCAGGAGCAGGGCCCAGCCTCTTCCTCGCAGCCTCTGCGCCCCTTTGTGTGGATGGTACTTGGGAGAAGGCCATGGGTTCCCGCGTTTAACTAGGCAGCGTTCAGGGAAGGTCAGGCGAACGTGTCCCTCTCTCCCCTGTTTGACAGCCAGCTCCATAGACAACAGACACGCCTGAGCTTTCTGGGACTTTGTCTCTTCTCTCTGGGGGTGTGGGTGTGGGTGTGGGTGGGGGGGGTGGGAGAGATTGGGGGGCCCGAGTTTCCTGGGCAGAGGCAGCCTCTCCCTGGAGAAAGCCTCATGCCTGCCACCCCAGCTTCCACATCTAAGGGATCCAAGAAGGGAATGTGGGAGCGCCCCCTGGTGGCGGTGAGCTGCAAAGGCATTTGGCTAAACAGGTGATGCCCGAGGGTGGGAGGCTGCCGGTGGTGGGGAGGCGAGTCAGGGGCTGTGGCCTCCCCTCAGCCCTGGCCTCCAGCCCCACATTATTGACGGTGTGTTTCCCGGATGCCCCTCTCTAGGTGTCCCCCAGGGATGAGTTAGTTAGCGTAAGGGCACTGTGATGAGAAGGCCCCCCCTTTTTTTAATATCTGCAGAATAAACCCAATGGTCGATTTTTGAATGAATAAAAGGCTTTTGTTGAATAAACAGCTGGTCCCATCTCTGTCTTGGCATCTAGGCCCAGGCTCTGTCTACTCCTGAGGACTGGGACAGATGCAGACTGCAGCCCGCCCCGCCCCCGCCCCTGCCCGGCCGGGCTGTCCATGGTCATTACCCAGGTCTTTGCTGGAGAGGGACCTGCCCCAGACGCTGAGCAAGTGATTTTGGTTCAGTGGGACTCCGTTTCCCATCCCTCAGGTGGGGGCGAGAATGTCTGCTGGGAGCAGAACTGAGCGGCCAGTGCAGGGCTCGGACGGGCTTGGCACCCCCATGGGAGCCTGCAGCTTAGGAAAGGAATTTGGGGAACTCTTACCCAAAACACAAAAGGGCAGGGCTCCCCGCTGCGGCGTTTTCTTTGTTCGCCCCCCAGCCCTCGGCCTCTTTCTGGGGTGCGGTCCTGTCTGATCGCCAGCTGTGTCTCGGGAGGGGGCAGGCCGGCCTCCTCGTGCTTCTCTGTATGTCGTCCATGTCGCGCCAATTAAACACGCTTCCTGATGTGCTCGCCTCCCTGTGTGGACCTGTTGCTTCGTCTGTTTCTGTTCTTCTTCGTTTCACTTTAGGTCTCTTCTTCCTCCTGTGACACCCTTTCTCTTGCTTGGGGGTCTTTCCCCCGGAGAAGTGCTGTGTCCGGGGGAGCCTTGGGCAGAATGGCCAGCCGGGCACGTCGAGGAGTGTTTCTCGGAGGCCGGAGCGGAGCAGGGCGAGCCTCCAGCCCACGCGTCGCTCCCAGCACCTCCGTTCCGGCCTGTGCATCTGTTCGGAGTCTCTAAACGGGTTTCCAAAGGTTTGAAAATGTGTGAAAGCAACTGGCCTAGACCAGTGGCTCTCAGATTGTGGGTGTCCGCATCACCCCGAGGCTTGTTAACCCAGATTGCCGGCCTCACCGCCCGTTGCTGGTGCTGCCGGTCTGGGGGGCCACACTTTGAGAACTGGGGGGCTGTTTGCACTACGGGACATCCGGCTGGGTCCTAAAGGGGAGTCCTGCCTCCATGCACCCGGGTCTGGCTAATCCTTCATTCCTTGGATGTCTCCCCCCCTCCCCCCCGTGATGTGTGGGCACTGAGGACCCAGAGATCTGTCGCTCACTCGTGGAGAGGTGATCGGGAGGGCGTGGGTAGATGAGCAGCTTCTGTGGGGACTCTCCGAAAGGCACCCCGAGATTGGCAGCCACGTGGCCGCCTCTGGCAGGTCCCCCTCAGCCTGGCCCTGGGATCTTGGTGGGGTTTCCTCTTTCCCCTCCTGGCAAGTAACCACGTGTTTGCTCAACACGCGTGGGGCCTGCAGGCGCTGGGTGCCTGCAGAGGGGGTCAGAGGAGGCAGGTCCCCGCCTTCCCGCTGAGGACACCTCAATCCAGAGAACAACAGCAGGCAGTGTGGCCGCAGGTGCATACCTGCCGGTGAGAAATACATCATCGCTCTTGAGAGACACGTGACATCGAGGCTGATGGGTCAAGCAGCCAGTTAGAGTGAGCCACCCCCTCCCCTGGAAAAATAGGTTGCGTTTCAGAGTTGGTTTGTGAAAGGGATTATCAGACCGACACCACCTAAGACAGAGCTGGCGGGCCCAGCAAAACTTCCATGCCAGGTGCCCTGCTTCCTGCCTCACTCTGGCAGGATTGAGACACATGGGAACGAATCAGAGGCAGTGTGGGAGGCAGAGGCAGTGTGGGAGGCAGAGGCAGTGAGGGAGCACAGTGGTTAGGGGTGCAGGTTCAGACTCAGACCTGGTTCCCAGCCAGGCTCCACCACCTGACATTGGGCATGTGTTCTGACAGTTTTCTCATAAAAATGTGGCACCCCCAGTTAGAGGCAGGCAATGGCTCCATGGCCCCTCTCAACAACCTTGCCACCAGAGAATATTACAACACAGAAGCAGGTCTTATTCTGCCAAATGCTCAAACGTTTGCTAGCAAACAGGGACCAACACGGTCATCCCCTGGACCTGTCCGTCCAAGGAGTCTGGGGGGGCGGGGGGCAGGACCTCTAACATCCTTTCGCTAATGAACAGACTCTAGTGCGGCTTTTAATAACAGTCTATATTTACAATGCTAACGTGGCCCCTTCTGGAGAGGGGTTCCTGATCAGAGCATTTCAAATTCTGAGGGACTGTCCCCGAGTGGAGATCGGAGGTCATTTACACGCACACACAACTCCGTTCTACCAACGTACTGAGACTAAATGAGTTTTCGGGACACCTCTCTCTGGGAAGACCCAGACCTGGCTGGAGGAGTCCATGTGGGGGTAGCTGGAGCAATGGCCCAGCATCAGACTGGCCCACAGTGGGCGTTTGCTGTCGCTGAAGGTGACTCAGTCTTTTCCAGGCAGCCTGGGGAGGCGTCTAGGGGACAAGATCCAGAGCCCCTGTGGGCACAGGACATCATAACCTCTTGCTCTGGGTCAGTCTGCACTCACCTGCCCCTGCCCAGCCCGCCCTGGGTGGCTTACTGCGGGGTGAGGCCCAGTGAAGGCCCAGACCCCAACTCATACTCAGCCACCCCTTTGCTGGGATGGCTTGGACTGGCCTCTGTTCCCTGGGTTGGACAGCACGGGTGAACCCCCAAATGGCTCCGTTTCTCCCCACTTTGGACAGCAGTGAACCCCCAAATGGCTCCGTTTCTCCCCACTGTGGGCCTTTCACTCCGTCCCCCAAACCCCAAAGTCACATCTGCCTGCTAGAAAGTGTCTCCCTAAATGTTACTCCCCAGAGGCCGGCTTGGGGCACCTCCGCACAGAGAAGAAAAGGGAGAGTGGGGAATGCCATGTGGACCTCTGCCCTGCTTGCTGCCTCCCTGGCGTGGCCCCCTGCAGCCTGCCCTGCCCCCGTGACAGGGCCCAGGTCACATCCAGGAACAGAAACTTTATATCCTCCAGGGTCCCAGGTCTGGAGGAGCCTCAGGGTGGCATGAAAGGGGCTTGGAAGGCCGCCCGAATTTAGGAAAAGTGAGCTGGCAGAGGTATGGTCCAGCCTTCTACCTGACCACATCTCTTCATTCATTTATAGCTGCTCATGGGGCTGCATGTTATAAAGGACTACATTTCCCAGCCTCCCTTGTAGCCGAGCGAGGCCACGTGATCAGTTCTGACCAATGGGATGAGAGCGATGAGCACAACTTCCCTTCCTGCCACCCCTTCCCGCTGACGGGACCAAGGACCAGGCAACAAGGCCTCCTGTAGCCTGAGTCCCGACACCTGGAGCGGCCACCAGCCCTGGACCATTTACACCGGTACCGTTAGGAGGGAGAGAAACACACCTCTAACTTGATTGAGCCGGCCTGGGTCTCTGTGCAAAAACAGCCAAATTTATATTCTACCTAATACACCGAGGGGTCCACTGGGTCATTTTAAACGATCAGGTGCCACCTACAAATGTTTCCTCTAAAGTCTCCATGGTTGCCAAAGCGATATAGCAAAAACGTGTGCGGCAGCGTGCTCCCCGCATCACCTCTCCTTCCCCTCTGCCCTCCTCCAGGGCTCAGGGGCCGAGGGGCCCAGTGGGAAGGACTCCTGAGGGAGGGCATTATTTTGCTGAATGACTAAAGGTCTGGGGGGCGGGGGGATAGGGGGGGTGTTGGCCCTGGATAAGGTGGGAGGCCCCAGGAGACTAGCCAGCTGGGTTTTCCCCGGGGGAACCACAGTGAGGGTGCGGGCAGCCTGGCCTGACATTGGACGCAGGACCTTGCCAGAGGCCTTGAGACAGGGAGACCAGAACTCCCGTGGTCTCTTCAAACTCCTGCCATAGAAACAGTGCCCGTTCCCCAGCACAAGCAGATCTTAGAGGTAACAGATGTGACCAAGGGTAAAATACCACTGTCCGGAGAGTGCGAGAGGGCAGGGAAGAGTCACTTTGGTACCGTTGTCACCCCATGGAGGGTGGATTCTACTGTAGTCACTGGGCTGCTGGTTGCCTTAGAGGCAAGGAGACGTCTTTGCAATATTGTGGGAGACCCACTTTCATTTTTGAGGATTCTGAAGGCCCAAATGAATATGTGTCAGCTGCCTCCTGCATGCCCCCTGCTGGGGATGGAGCCCCCAATCTGGGCATGTGCCCTGACTGGGAATCAACCAGCAATCTTTTGGTGCACGGGATCATGCTCAACCACTGGGCAACACTGGCCAGGGCTGTGGGTTTCTTTTATTGTATGTGTTTATCTGGTCTTGGTATCAGGGTAATTAATGCTGGTCTCATAAAATGAGTATAAAGCGCTCCCTTTTCTTTTATCAGGTAGAATTTTGTCCCCCTTGAAATATTTAGTGTAGCTCACCAGGAAGTAAGCTGGGCTAAGGGGTCTTCCTTTTTGGAACGTTTTAAGACGACAGATTCCATGTCTTTGCTCTATAGGATGAGTCAGGTTATCTGATTCACCTCGGGGACTTGTGGGACTTTGTAGCTGTTGAGGAATTTGTCCATTTCATCCACATTATTGGGTTTATGTGCACAGAGTTGCTCTCACTATTCCCTTCTTCTCCCTTTATGGTCTGTGTGGTCTGTAAGGATATCCCTGTTTTCGTCCCTGC